ACGCCGCGCTGCGGCTAGTGCGCGAGCACCGGTGTGGCTCAGCGCGGCAACGCGATGGAGCGCTGTATGGGTGGTTGGGGTGCAGCGGAGCGGGCCATTGTGCGGGCCGTCCTGCACGCGGAGCAGGCCAGGCCAGGCAGCCGCGAGAAGATCCAGGAGGCCCGCGGAGCCGAGCGCAGCGCGCTTTTTCGCGGTTGCGACATGCTGCGGGCGAGCTCCGGTGTGCGTTTTCGCGCCGTTCGAGCCGTCGTCCTGGGGGTGGCGATGGCGGCCGGCGGCTGGTCCCGGCTAGTTCGGTTTGCTAACCCAATTTGGGCCCATTTTTCGCCCCGACAAGTCCAAATTCGACATTTTTGGGGTCCTCGAACCATTTTTCTAAACGTCCCGGACTCATTTTCTGGCACTTTCAGAGCTCCTGTACGCAATATCATATCTCTTCACTCGGAAAATCTCTAAAATTCATGACGCATATTTCGGACTCCTGGAGCTACGACGTCCAAAAATAGGGGGCAACTGATATATTCTCAAAAAATTATCTTGATCGGGGACGAATCTCGAAGCAAAAAAGCCAGTTGGAGACTTCAAAGATTAAATTCAGGAGCATCTAAACTCCGATTTCAGCGAGCTGCTTTCAGTCAAAATTGAGCGTCTCGGAAAGACAAATTCAACGACACCAAATTCAACCCAATCGAGTCCAAAGTGGTTCGAATCAAGGACCCGAAGCGCATTGGAAGGTTCAAACCGCAATTTGAGTTACCAAACGGTCCCGATTTTTAACGATCTTATACTCAAAACGAACGACTCAACGAGACAAATCCAACGACCCAAATCGCAAATTCCGACATCATTAAGGTCTCCAAATGTTCACACAAACTGCACAATTAAGGGTTCAATATCGGCCTCCGTTCAAACCACTCCCTATTCGCCCCTGATCTCACACCTATTTACGAGTCATGCCACTCCAGAAAACTATAAAAAGAGCACTCATTCTTTACAAAGGAACTCAAGTGAAGAGAGAGAAGAGGAGGAGGAAGAAGGAAGGCTCCTCCTCGACCACCGCCGGACCGAGGCTCTTCCCGCCGCCTGAAGACGCCGGAACTCTGCCGGATTTTTGGAGAAAACCGGGAATTTGCGAGAACTTGTAATTGGCTTGAAAAAATAATTGTAATACTGATTCCCCCGACTTGTGGGACGAATCAGCCATTTGTAATTTACCAATACTAATGGAATTTTTTCACTGGGCGAGGCCCCGTGTTTTTTCCCTTTTTGGGTTTTCCACGTAAAAACCTTGGTGTTCATTTTCTCTTTTATGTTTGTGTGCTGAATATTTGTGCAACGCCTCGGACGCAATTCATTAAATCATCTACGCCGGCGTATATTCTAGCACATAATAATAATTATATATATATATATATATATATATATATATATATATATATATAAACGTGGAGATAATTTATATTTTTGAAATTTTATTTTGAACCAAAACATTCATCTTTTTTAATAAATAAAATACTTATTAAAGTTCGTTACAAATAAATTTAAAATTTACTTAAATTTAACATTATTAGAATTGTATTTTGAACCATATTTGAACATACTTAGAATTTCATTTAAACCTCCCCAAACATGCATCAATCATGTGATGGCTTTCCCTATCAAGCATGTTTCACTAGCTCCCTCTAGATCACTTTCACCATGAGTTTTCTCTTCTCCTCACTTGTCATTGGTCAAGTGATTGCCTTCCCCAATGAGCTCACGTCGTCAAATCTTCTTCTCCTCACATGCCAACAATTCCGACGGGAAGCCCTCTCATCACGAAATTGTTTCTGCTCACACATCACAGGTTCTAAATGTGATGCTCTAGAATCTAATGGAAGGATTGAATGCCTAAACCTATAACATAACTCAATCACCACATGATAAACAAGAGCTATTATAAAATCCAAAATAATAATAATAACACAAACATCATATTATTTTTATTACTCAAAATACATTTACAATAATCCAATACATGTTGAATCTAAACATCAAACTAATTCATATTGGATTACAATTCCAAATACCTTAACTATTCAGGTTTAGAGGATTCAAACTCTACCTCCCTTTACTCCGTTAGGCCTTTTACTTTTCCTAAAATGTTAGAAAGCATCACCGAGTTAGCATAACCAGC